TGTGTTGAGAGAGGGTAAGTCAAAACCTAAAATGCTAAATATTAAAGGCAAATTTAACTGAAACTGTTACAATTTACATAAATAAATGAAGAAATAACTATGATTTGTCGTCAGGAGACACATATCTATTAAAGAGATTTGCAGCTCCGGCATTAATATGTTTATTTACTACGATACGTGTCGGCACCAGCATCCTTCTAAAAATATTTAGGTCCAGTACAATCAGTACATTTAGCTACGAAGGTAGAATTACCTATCGTACCTTTATTTAGCTACTTCGGGTAGCCTTATTTAGCTATTTCAATGTAATTTTTCACAATTTTGCTTTTTATTTAAAGAAGACAAAAAAATCGCAAGTATATGACTACCAACAGGTCCAGCACAATCTCTTGATTAAGCTATATAGCTTGAATTAGCTATATAGCTTTATTAAGCTATTCAAAATAGCTTGATAAAGCTATTTTTATGCAGTTTTTCTCAAAAATGTCTGTTGATTGCAAGGAATAGACAAAAGGTCACAAGTATTTGACTATTCAAATAATGAACTATGGACTTTTCCCCTTTCCTTACAATAACATTGCTAGTATCAAGAAAGCAACCAAACTCAAAATTAGTCTTAACATTGCAGCATTTGAATACTTTTAAGCAAAAGATGTATTTCCATTGTTTGGATTACTGTACAGCACCTTGTGTGTTGAGATGTGGATATAAGTATGATTGCTTTACATTGTAGTGAGTTATTACCAATTAAATATCTTGTTGAACAGAATTTACCCCCTTTATAATTTCATTCAAGAAGTAACTGTATGGTCACAAATGAATTGCTTTAAATAGCCCCAAAACTTTTAGAACTTCGAGTACAAAGTCTCTCAAGGAGACACAATTTGATGAGTGAGTTTTACATGCATTCTTTTCAGAAGAGTTCAGAGTTGAACACTATCACTGCACCAAGGTGTGACTTTTTGTACATGCTGCAAAAATAACACATGTAAGAAAAAAATGTGATGAAATAGCTAAATCAAGCTATTCTGAATAGCTTAATAAAGCTATATAGCTAAATCAAGAGATTGTGCTGGACCTGACCAATGTTTATAGCAAGGATTTTAAAAAAGGCAATCCAAAGCAGATATAATTTAAACATTGCTGTGTTTGAACACACCTTTAAGCAAAAGATGTATTTCCATTGTTTGAGTAACTGTACACCACTTTGTGTGGTGAGGCATGGATAAGGATGATTACTTCACATTGTGCTGAATAATTACCCGTCAATTATCATTTTAACCAGAACTGGTCTTCTTTGTTATTTCATTCAAGAAGTAACAGTTTGGTCACAAATTAACTGTTGTATATAGCCCAAAAAATTTTAGAACCTAGACTGCAATTGCACAGAAAAAGACACAATTTCAAGAGTGATTTTTTCATGAATTGTTTTCAGATGCATTTGACGTTAAATATTATTACTCCATCAAAGTGCGATTTTCTGCACATCCTGAGAAAAATTCTAATTTAAGAAAAAAGTTTGATTTAGTAGCTATATGAAGCTACCTCAGGTAGGTAAATAAAGCTATGTAGGTAATTCAAGCTACGTAGCTAAATTTAGTGATTGTACAGGACCTGATATTAGGCCCCCTACTCTTTATTCAGATCCATCTCTTCATTAAGCTATGTAGGTTGAATTAGATATAAAGCATTAATTAACCCTTTCATGATAATTGTGGTTCTGCTCTTTTGCAGGACAAATTGATAACATTTGGCAAAGTTTTTGATGGCAGTTAATTAAATGATGTATATTTAACAATTGTTTTTATGTCATATTTCACCAAATTATATCATTTTACACTGCAAAAGAGCAGTACCACAGTTATCATGAAACACTCTGTATGTTGATGGTGCAACAGTTAGGGTGAGGGCAGATAATTTAGATCGGGCTCTTCAAACTGTACATAAAATTCCAAGGTCTAGACTGTGATGTCACATGATGTTGTGTGTAAGTTGCATTCATACCAAAAGGAAGTCTGAACAGTGCTAATTTTAATGAAGAACATTTAATCTACCATTTTTCTGCTATATCCATTGAATCAAGGTGAGTTTATTTTTTCTTGGAACTTCTTGTTGCCACAAGAATGTAATTTGCGATGAGATGCAATTCACAAAGGATTGTGGGTCCAGAGAATACTGCTGAAAAAAATTAATTGGGATCAATGTGCAAAGTCAAATTTCTCTTCACCCAGGCATTATCTTTAGAGCTTGCAGTGAAGCGCCGCTGGCTGCGCTCTCTATCATTTTTTCAGTGTGTACAAAAAGTTGCACCTTGGTGCAGGGTTAGTATTCAACTTTGAACTCTTCTGAAAAAATGCATGTAAAAATCACTCATCATATAATTCATATTGCATCTCTTTGAGAGACTTTATATTCAAAGTTTTAAAAGTTTTGGGGCTATATAAAGTAATTGATTTGTGACCACACAGTAACTTCTTGAAGGAAATTATATATGAGGTCAGTTAGGGCTGGGACGATACAACTTTTTGTAATATGTATCATGATATTTGAGCCATGATATAATATGTATCACAATATGTTGAATTGGTTATAAAATGTTTTTTGCATTGAAATGAACGAAACAATTCTTCGCAAATAAGATAAATTTATTCAAAGAAGTTGTATATTTGTTGTAAAACAAAATCATTTTACCTAAATGGTATTAATTATTATGTATTTCATATTTATATTTATATTTAGCATATTTATTTTATATATTTAACCCAAAATGTTAAGTAAACAGAGAAAAACATAAGTCAGAATTTTTTTTGCGATATTTCAATATTTCTTCATACGTATCGATATGAGTATCATCCTCACATTGAATTGATATTATCGATATCTCGATATATATCGTCCCAGCCCTAAGGTCAGTTATCATGGTTATGGTCAACAAGATAATTGATCGGTTATAATTCAGCACTATGTGAAGCAATCATACTTATCCATGCCTCAATGCACACAAGGTGATGTACAGTTATCCAAACAATGGAAATACGTCATTTGCTGAAAAGTATTTAAAAGCTGTAATGTTAGAACTATCTCTGATGGGTTGCTTTTTTGATAGTTTATATAGTACAGTATGTGTACATAAATAATTATTTGTCAATTACTTTCGACTTTCATCTATTTCTTATAAAAATATTTTAGTGAAAAATTGCAAATAAATAACTTTATTGAGCTTTAAAATTTCTTAATCATGAATATTTTGAAAAGCTTAATAAAGCTGTATCTATTAGCTAATTAAAGCTATAAACTGGTAGCTAAATCAAGAAATTGTGTTGGACCTGTTATCAGTTGTGTAATTCAATCTAAAATTAAATTAATTTTATTACACATGAGTGTATGATTTGTAAAGTTTCAAAACTCTATATTGATTTTTAAAAGTAAACCAGACAAATTAAGGATCCCAATGATTGAAAATTAGCAAAATCTTGGAGATATGACAGACAAATGGTGACCTGTTGCTATTTCAGACTTCTCCTTTATTATTGTATGAAATAAACTTATGAAATATAATATTCTGAATAACTTGTTCATATGAATAAAAAGGTTCTACTTTGTTATCATTTGTTATCATTGATGTTTAAGACCACAGACGTCAGTGCTGAATTGTACCCGCCCATTCCACTGTCTATCATTAAATGTTTTGATTGTAACAGATGGAAATGACGTAAGCTGCGTATTTCCAATTTTGCCAGTTAATGTTCCACGGTCTTATATAAAGATTAATACAAATTAAACAGTGCAGGATTTGAAAAAAGTAAACAGTAGGGCCCATGAGAAATAGTGAGATTTCAAACACGAAAAAACCAGTAAATACATGCTGATGAAACAACCAGTAAATATGGTAAAAGTTTTCTTAAAGAGTGCCAATTCACATTTGTTCAAATCATGGCCTTTTTGGCAAGATGGGGTCACAAAATGGGGTTTCAAATTGATTTACCAGCATTCCCCTATAGTGCAGATAGTGTAATGGTAGTAATATTTGGGTCACTTTTATGGACAGATCATGATAATAAACTAAAAATGGATGCCTGGATTGATATATATTTTGGGGCATATTTTGGTTGTAAATGATGCAAATATCAAAATTCTAAACTATAAAGAAATTGTAAACTTTCTAAGATGTACAAAATTCTACCTTTCTGCAATATCCTTACAAATCTATACAACTTTTTATCCCTTTATAGGACATCATAATGAAAACTTTTGATGAAAAATTAAAATCTAAGCGGTTAAAATTATTCATTTTACAGATATAAACTTGACTAAGGTTGTTATTTTCATGATTTTTGAAAAAAAGTTTTCTGTATCATATGGCCTTAATAAAAGAATGGGTGAATGCCTGACATAGGGAAACATGTTTAGAATTCTTTTCAATAACAGAAGGCCTACCCTACAACTTGTACAATAAGTCATATAACCTGGTAGATTACAAACATCCCCAGGAAGTGTAGATTCCTGGGTTTTTTTAAAATCATGACCCCTGGGCTAGAAAGGGGGCACAAATTTAAATAGGAATATATCTAAAATGTAATGAAAAAACAACAGTTTTATTGATGTGACACTTTTCCCATGTAGTGTAAATTCAGTGTGCCCTTGGGGCTAAGATGGAGTCACAATGGTGGCAGTACTAAATTTTACATGGGGATTTTTTTTAAGAACAATCAGACAACACTTGGTCATTTTGATATTCAATTATCCCCATGTATAGTGTAGATTTAAGTTTCTTCAAATTTGGCCACTGGGGATAGGATGGGGCCACACAAGAAAGTCAAAGTTGTACATGGAAATATGTAGACAAAAATAATAAAATCTCAAGAACAGGTAGGTTAAGTATGCCAAGTGAGCTTCGTGACCCACAACCCTTATGTTTGTTATTACAAGCACTGCATGTAATTAGGAACTAAATGTAGACTTGGCTGTTCCCCATTGTAAACTATCACAGTCATGTGGGAATAGAGAGCAGAGATTAATAACAATTTATTTGTCAGCAAGGCCAATAAGAATATATGTGTACCTGGACTGATGATTTCCTAGGGCAGATCGGTTGATGGAAGTGACAAATATAGGCATGATGTAAAGAAGATGGGTGAATTATCAAGGCCAAATGCCTTTTCATGAATGCTTGGAGAGTTACTAATAATCAGGTAATAGTATTTTGATTCCACATTGATTAGCTACATAATGTAAACATCTGCACCAAAAAAATGAAAATATGTTTTGTGGAGTAATATTATAAATCTTGAATACCGGGTATTTTTTTAATATTCTGACTATCAAATTACAAAAAAATCATCAGAATTTCTTTGGCATACAACTACATCATTATTAATGTTGAAATATTGAATTGTTGTTTATTGGCAATGACTTCATAACTGCAGTGGTAGCAGGAGTACCTAAAATAACAGATGCTTAACAGATGTGGGTACAACATCCAAAAATGTGAGCATCAGATTTACATTGACAACTTATTAACTGAACACACTGTTGGTAGCACACTGTATACTTTATCCACAGATTGTAAAGGGAACCAGTCACCTTACCACATAAATCAGTGGCATATTTGAAAAGCAACTTCTCTAAAATCAAACTTTCTGGTCTTAATATTGTAAGAGACTGTCTTTAATTGATACCTGTACTTTTATATTGAAACATGCAAATAAACAAAGCTATTTGACTATAATTTATATGAACTACATGTATTTACAACATTTATTTGAGACAGACCCTTAATTAAGTTGGAGGGGATTGGGAGTGGGGGAATTGCTGTCTGGAGATATTATGATTCACAATTAACTATAGTTACTTCCATTCATATACAGACTTGATATATCCCTTGTGAACTTGAAATAAAAGACACCACAGAGTCTGTCACATCTGTTTCATACTTAAATGTTTTACTGACTATAGACAATAAGGGCCAACTAACAACTAAACTGTAAGACAAAGGAGATGACTTCAGCTTTTCTATCGTCAACTTTCCTTATTTATGAAGTAATATTCCACTATAACATGCATATGGTGTTTATGTCTCACAGCTTGTTTGATATTCAAGAGCATGCTCAATTTTTAAACCAAGGCAAGCTACTAACAAGTAAGTTGATGTTACAGAGATTTCAACAACCTCATTTAAAGTCAGCATTTCATAAATTCATGAATTAATTCATAAATTCTATGGTCAATATATGAATATAATGACTTTATTAGCATATACAACCTATCACTGGATTGTATTTTGATTGACATATTTCATATCAATTATGAGTATTAGGCTTTGTTTTTATACACTTTTCATTGACTGGAAAGTTGTTACAAGCTGTCTGCTGGAACAATAACATATTGTTCATGTAGTCTTTCTAATTCTTTTATCACTTCCTTTCAGTAAAACAGAAGGATATATGGTTTTCATATTGCATTTCAACTTCCTCACACAATTCTTTAATATATTTCTAAAAGCACTTAATCCAGTTTGACAAAGTGTTCAGGTTTTCCTCTTCATACTTTGCCCATTATCTGGCATAATCCTCAACAGAATTTATAATAGAAATGAAGTTCTGTTGCCATTTGAGAGATATGAAGCTCCTTGTAATTAGAACCTTTTAAGATGATAGCTTTTAGGTCATCATTTTCAACTATATTATCATCACCTGTAATGATATGTCCAGTGGGTCAATAGTTGAAAGAAGAGGAAGAACAAGAACACTTGAGGGGATCTTGTTTTAGATGTTCAATATTTAGGCACTGTAAGGTTTGTTATAATTGAAAAGTTTGGAAGTAACAGTTGGGGAATATCTGTAGGAAATGCAGGGTGTAGACTTCGATTAACTTGAAATATGGTGGAATATGGTTTAAATGCAGGACTAAACTTTTTTTATGATTAAAAATGTTACTAATGTTCACAGCATCTATTTTTCTTTGTTGGATTTAAGTTTAAGGAACCTACGGGTTGAATGGGAATTATTATCTTCTGAAACATGTGATGGCTTTAAGAGCCTGTCCTGGGCAACATCCATAATCACAAACACTAGCTTGTATTCTGCAGTTGAAAAATCCACATATGGACTTGCTTTAGCTTCTTCAAATAGTCATGGCCATTCAAAAATTTCAAGGATACCTAGTAAACTTTAGTGCAAATGTGATGAAGACCATGTTTATTGAGGTAAGGTAAAAGAGCATCATATGCTTGGTCTATTGTATGATCAATGCCCATGACTACATCTAGGTGACTGTATTGTTAAAGTCTCATCACATTCACATTGGCACATAGTGAGCTTGAAAGATTCCCTACATTATTTATGTGGTCATTGCAACCATATGGAAATGCATGTACTATGAAATGAAGTACTTAAATTGGGACTATTGGTTGGATGGTATATTTTTCCAAAATTCTAACCCTCTTTGAAAGGATAGAGTGATCTGAGGCAAATTGAAATGTTTATAAAGATGTTTATGGCTCCCATTATTTATTTCAAACCTATACCCCGAATAAGAGAGCTAGAGTTAGTTAAATCAAGAGTAAACCATTTTTATGTAGTGTAGATACAGATTTGTTACAATCATGACCCTGGCACAAGGTCAGAGCTACAATAGGAAATCACTAAAGTTTAAAAATCTGAACACATGGAAAATATCTTAAAAATGAAGAAAACAGGTCCACAATGGTCATTTTGATTTGTGAGTATCCCAAAGTATGTTCAAACTGAGTAAATTATGTTCTAAGCAATATGACCAAAGGGACTAACCAGTAGGGAAACAAAGTTTTATGTACAGAAAATATATAGACATCTGAAAGAATAAGCATGCTATAATTTGTACAGTTGACATCAAGCTTTTTGTGAATTAAAATAGTTGAAATCATGGACTTTAATTAAGAGAGGACAATAAGAAGTAACATTTTTATACAGGTATATATATTCATTTGCCGGAATAAAAATGGTGACTCAGGTGAGCATGGTGGCCCTTTGGTCTCAGTTTTTTCAAGGACACCCAGAGCAGTTTTTCTTACAATAACTCTCAAAAGCTTTTGGTGATATGAACATGGTTAAATTTTCAAGTCTATTGGAATGTGCATTACCTGGAATTTGAGATCTTGTTTAACTGTATGAAGCTATTTAATTCTTTTCTTTAGAATTGACCTGCTTTGAAAATTTTAAACTGCATGCATAGGTAACAAAGGCTGTAGAACTTTTTTATTATAGGAAATCGAAACTATGTCACAAAGTTTGTATCATATTGTGTATATAAATAAGATCATGCTGATAAATTTATCAGTGTAGTAAAGCTTCACTGTACATTGATTGTAAATTTAAATAGTTTGATATACCTGTCCTAGATAAGTGCCCCGTTATATCCTGACTTGTATTACAGGGCGCCGAGACCTGCGTAAGATGACCCTGTCCTGACATCAGGTCCTGATTAAAGGCTTTATTGGGTGGAGTAACGTCTTCTGTACTTCTTAAGGAAGCAGTCATGTGAGTGTTTTAGGAATACCATTTTTGTTCCATATTTGTGTTTTATTAAATTTGAATATTTTAACTCTGAGCTTTGATAAACTTCGACTGTTGTGTATGGTTTAATAACTTGATTCTCCTGTCAAAGCTGCTGACATTTCTATTGGTCTGTGCCAAAAAATTGTCAGAATCCTTTTTGGCTGGTGGATTTACAGAATCTAAGTCAACCAACTTTTAAACTAGTCCAACTATTTCTGAACATACATGTAATTTAAGCACATTATACAAATGGATAATCAAGAGCCTGTAGAAAGTTGTATTATTACACCACTCAAATCTCGTTATTTAAAAGTTGCTTGGATCAAGAAAAAACTAGATTTGAGATTAAAATATATTGAGAAAGAGTGGTTGAAACTTCAAATTCACTTCTATTCATATACAGTATATAGATATTATATAAATTGTTGTTCTATAAAACAAAGTTCAATGTAGTTTATTGCCAGCTTGTTTTTTGTTTTTTTTTTGTATCTTTGATGTACCCATCAACAGACTATGCTTTTTTCATACAGAAACAATATTTTCCACAAGCCCATCACGCTTTTTTAGTTAACTTTTCATCAGCCCTGTAGTATTCTACAAGCCTAGGGTATTGGCTTTGTGTTCTTTACACTTCAATGAAATTGAGATGAGCCTGTGTTACACCCCAAATGTTAGCATCTTGGTTAAAGTATTAGGAAGCAAGTGCATTCCCAAGTGACCATAAACACTACCTGGACCAAAGATACATGGATGTTGCATCTAGTAATGTACACTTCCTGACTTTCTTTGGATGCTGGGTTTGACCTACATTTTTTGGATGAATGACCAAGTTAAAATTTTTTGAGCAAGTCGATTTCCATGTATCTATATGCCCAACCTATACCAAACTTGGATGATGAATCTAGGGATGTACATTATCAGACATGTTTCAGATGATAAATGTTACCAACATTTTATGGATGATTGAACAGGTTGAAGTTTTTGGAGCAGGTCCACTCCCAAATAATTATAAGCCCTATCATGAGCAAATCTGCATGGATTATGCATCTAGGGATGTATATTACCTGCTGTGTCACATGCTTGATCTGACCTACATTTTCTGGATGAGTGATAAGGATAATTTTTTTGGAGCAAGTACATTTCATAGGGATTATTTCCTGGTCCAGACTTGCATGGATGAAACATCTAGGGTTGCACACTACCAGACATGTTTCAGATGGTGGATCTGATCTACATTGTCTGATTGAAAAGGTTTAAGTTATTAAAGGAGGACCAATACTAAGTAAGTATATGTCATCTGGTGACCATACCTACATGAGTGATGCAACCAGGGATGTGCACTACCAGACTTGCTTCAGATATTGTATCTGACCTTCATTTCTTCAGAAGATTGAACATGTTAAAGTTTCAGGAAAAGTCCCCTATAAAGTAATTATAAGCCTTTTGGTGATCAAACTTGCATAAATGATGCATCTAGGGATGCACACTAACAGACTTGTTCCATCTGATGTACATTTCATGGATGATTTAACAGGTGAAAGATTTGGAGTACTGGTCCATTGCAAAGTACATGTAACTACAACCTTCCTGGACCAAACTTGTATGGATGCTGCATCTATGGATACACTCTACCAGACCTGCTTTAGATGCTGCATCTAATATACATTTTCTGGGTGATTCAACAGGTGAAGTTTTCAGAGCATGTCCAATCCCAAGTAACGAGAAGTCCTAATTTGCATAGATGTTGTATGTAGGGATGCACACTATCAGAATATTCATGTGGTTTGAGACTTTGCCTTACTTACTCATATATTAATTTCTTTGAGGTGAGCTTTGTAATATGTTACTAAATAAGAGTATGTATTTATTCAAAAAATAAAACATACACATTTTTTATAACATACACATTTTGAAAAGCTCAAGTGAGCTTTTCTGATCACCCTTTGTCTGTCGTCCATCTCTCTGTCCTCCGTCTGTAAACTTTTCACATTTTCAACTTCTTCTCAAAAACCACTGGGCCAATTTTAATCTAATTTAGTAAAAAGTATCCGTGGGTAATGGGGATTCTTAATTGTTGAAATGACAGGTTATGTCCCCTTTAAAGGGGAGATAATCAAGAAAAGGCAAAAATAGGGTGGGGTCATTAAAAACTCTTTTTCTCATGAGCCACTGGACCAGAAAAGCTGAAACTTATGTGGAAGCTTCCTGAGATAGTATAGATTTTAAATTCTTTAAATCATTGCTCCTGGGGGTTGGGTGGGGCCACAATAGGAAATCAAAGTTTTACATTGAAATGTATAGAAAAAAATCTTTAAAAAAATTTTTCTCAAGAACCACTGGGCCAGAAAAGCTGAAACTTAAGTGGAATGCTCTCTAAGGTAGTGTAGATTCTAAATTGTTTACATAATGGTCCCTGGGGTTAGGGTAGAGGCCATAATAGGGAATTGAAGTTTTACATTGAAATATATAGGAAAAATCTTTAAAAACCTTCTTCTCAAGAACTGCTGGACCAGAAGAGCTAAAACATAAGTGGAAGCTTCCTGAGGTAGTGTAAATTGTTAATTGTTTATATCATTGTCCCCGAGGGTAGGGTGGGGCCACAGTAGGGATTACATAGGGAAAATCTTTAAAACTCCTCTACTCAAGAACAGCAAGGCTATGATGAATTACATTAATGTGGAAACATCTTCTGGTAGCGTAGATTCAATTTTGTTCAAATCATGGCCCCTCTACATAGTATGGGGCCACAGAAGTCGATCAAAATTTTACATAGGAATACATGTATGTTGGGAAAAAAAACTGATGCAGAACAGTAGGGCAAAAGTGACTCAGGTGAGTGTTGTGGCCCATGGGCCTCTTGTTTGTCATTTAGGTCAGCCAGTTTAAAGCTTCTTCAAAGATTTGAAAAGTTAACCATCTTAAGACAACTGACAAGAGCTACAACACAGGAGCATGTGTCCTTCCTACACAGTTTTGTCAAGAAATCTTCAAGTCAACACTTGAGTCTTTCTGAATCAGTAAAACACAAGTCTTCTTTTAAGTTTAGTTTGCAAAGGTCCTGCAGCAGTTCAGTGTCATTGCAGGGATCCAGAAACAAAGACATTAATCTCAGTGCAGAGGGTCTGCTATTGTGTTATGGACAGTTTAATTTGGATCTTCCATATGTTTGGTTAAGAGATCATTGTCGATGTGATGTTTGTTATAATCATCAAACATGCCAGAAGAATGTAGATAACTTTGACCTGGATTTAGACATTAAACCAACTCATGTCTCTTTTGATGGAACAGTATTGACACTAGAGTGTGAGCATGTTTAGTTAAATGTCAATTAAGTATCTACTAAATAAAAAGTTGATACATAAAATTTGAGAACAGAAAAAAAATCAAGAAGGAAATTACTCTGTACAATGCATGTAACATACTTGCATGTGTAAAAGAAATTCTTCTTTAGCCTAAATCAAAAGCAATTTTAACTGACCAAAAGCTAAGACCAAATTTAATGAATCCTATCACATGTACATGTATACTTACTATATACTCTGAATACCTTCCTGTATCCGATTGTTTCTGACACAGGGCCAGACAAGCACCTGACAAGTTTCAATATTGATTGGCTTATAGAGAACACATACCATAATCAACACAAGGACAGAGTGGAGAAACTGTTATGGAACAAAGATGTGATGTCCACCATTACAGAACAGCCAATGGTGCCATTCCAGGAGTTCATGCAGACAGAGAAGGGTCTGAAAGGTCATGTGAACAATCTACTAAAGTATGGATTTTCTGTTGTGACGGAGGTAAATGCAGCATAGTGATTAAGAAGCTGATTTGAATATGATTGGGTCTTTGTTTGGAAATAAAAATTAATGTCAGGAAATATTTTTATTTAATAATTCAAGGGTATATGACTTGCAACTGTCTCTCAAATCTTTAATATGGGGCATCATCAAAAATAGATGGTTATATTTTGAAAGACATTTGTTAAAATCAAGTTTATTTCTGTCTATTATAATATATTATATGTTATAATATGTTGAAAAAAAAATAACATGAAAGTCAGAATACACTGTAGTTTATTTACAGAAGCTCTAATTACAGGCCCCTACTGACCACAAGGGAACCCTCCTTGTGTCTCAGCGACTGACATTTATACAGCCCACATTATTTGGTCCTTCTTGGAGTTTCACCTCGGACCTGGCCTTCGGGGACACGGCATATACTACACTTGGACTTGGGGCTCATACTGACAACACCTATTTCATGGCACCTTCTGGGTATTAAATCTGAAATCTCCTCAGAGTTCATCTTTATATAAGTTTCTATTTCTCTGATATGAATGTTAAATAGCTGCTTCTACAAGTACTTTGAAGACAGGGCACATGGCTGACTATGCTGCTCAGCCCTAGATCACAAAAATTTAGTAACATATTCTGTGTATTTTAAAAACTCTATGAACAGAAAATATATACTATCAGAATTCAGGTCTTTCATGTACTGGAGCATGATGGAACAGGAGGGGAAACCCTCCTTGTGGATGGCTTTCACGCGGCAGAGACCTTGAGGAGGGAGAACCCCACAGCGTTTCAGTGTTTGGCAGAGACAGTGGTTCCTCACGAGTTTTACGACCAAGAACACCGCGTCAGAAGTCTAGGAACAGTACTCACTCTTCATCCAACAACCAAACAACTCTTCAGTATTAGGTATTATTTCTATAGGTCTTATCAATAAATTTTGTTAATTGATGGGGGTTAATTTTAGAACATCTATGCCTATTAGAGGTTGGTGGTAAATCTATTCTAAGTTCTGGTGATTGATTTTGATATGTTCAAATATAATTTTGACCGTGTACATTTTTTGTGATTTGAAGTGAATACTTGAAGATTCCTTTGTAATCCATTGCAGAATGAACTACATTATATAATGTTGTATATTCATGCAGGTTCAACCCATACGACAGATCACCACTCCACACTGTTCCACCAGAGCAAATCAAGGAATTCTACAAGAGTTATGCAGCTTTAACTGAAGAAATCAGGAAAACGGAGAATGAAGTTTGGCTTAAACTAAAACCAGGCATGGTCCTATTTGTGGATAATTGGAGAGTCATGCATGGTCGATCAGCCTTCACGGGTCGACGTCGAGTCAGTGGATGTTATTTACCCCGAGATGACTGGTTTGGGCACGCAAGACTTCTTGGTCTCCAGAATTTATGAAATACAAATTTCAGGATTTTTTTTAAAGGATTTATTAAATGTTGATTTTTGTACAATGAACATGTTATTTCAGTATAAGCCAAGAACCATCATTTTCAGTGATGTACTTGTGATATCCATACATTTCTGTGATAATTCTGTCAGTATTGATAAGTTTCAAGTTAATGGTTTATTACTTTATAATATTACAAATTCCAAAGTAATATGCCAAATGTTATTACTGGTATCCTTTGTCTGATATCTTCAGCAGGACTTACTGAATATTGGCTGGAAGTGCCATTATGAACTAGGCTAAGCTAACCAAAGCAAACTGGAATACATGTATTGAGGTTTTCATGTAACCATAATACCAAAAGTTGATGATAAATTAAAATTTTCAGTTAAGTATGTACATGCAGAAAGATTTTACAGTGAAGTGCAATTATATATTTGTTATCCTAGTTTAATGTTATATTACATTGCAAGATTAAGGGTTGATATGTTTTTGCAAATATACCAAGCAAGTTATTGTTTGATTTTTTTTTAATTTTCTGTCTTAATTTACTCATTTTCACAAGCTTTCTCAAGTAATTGCACATCAAAGCAGCTAGAACTGTTCCGATAGATACTGTACACTGGGAAATTTTCACCTTCATTTTTACTTCACCCCTTTACCTTCATCACAAGAGGGTGAATTTAAAATGAGGCAAATTCCAAAAAAACAGCATTATCTCTTTAACACAGCTTTGTCTGAGGGAACTTAAAACTAGGCAAAATTGTTTTAAAGAATGAAAGGGCTAAAATAATATGGGGTGAACATAGCTTTGTATAAATGATGATACCTAAAGCTGGGCACATAAACCCAAGGCAAAGCACAAAGTATAGTAAGGGCATATCTTGGCCCCAAGCTCATCTGAAAGAATCAAAATGCTATTTTGAGTGTATGTATCAAGAATTATAAAGAAATTTGTCTGCAGTTCCATAATTAAATAATTTTCTTATTTCCAATTCATTTTAATTAAAAGTAGAGGTACTTGGAGCACTAGTCTCACAAAATGATTAGCCACTCCCCTTCCCCCACTTCCATTAAGTACAATGGCAAAGTCCATGTTTTGTTTATGGGAAGCCCAAGATATCTCTGATCCAAATGTAAAATAGGAGGGGCACAATGGCACTATGTAATATTGATTCTGAAAAAGGCTTTTTAAATTTAACTTAGTTGTGTGGGAAGAGTTGTGGATAAGAGATGAGTACCCAAAATATTATAGAAAAGATGGCAGTGTCCATGTTTTGCTAAGGGAAACCCAAACAGGAGGCTCATGGGCCACAATGCTCACCTGAGTCAATATGGCCCTGTCATTCTTCATCAGCAGAATTCATATGTAAAACTTTATTCTCCTGTTCTAGCTCCACCCTATACCCCAAAGTGTCAAATGAATCTAAACTAAATGAGGATGCTTCCATATTCATATGACTAATCATGGCTTTGCTGTTCTTGAGAACAGATTTATGAAAATGTGTGCCACCATACCGGGGGGGGGGGGGGGGGGGGGGTCATGATTTGAACAAAATTGAATCTTTTACTACATGAGATTGCTTTTCCATATCAATATGACTAGTCATGACCTTCTTTTTCTTAGGAAAAAGATTTTAAAAGATTGTTTAATATATGTGTCTGTGTAAAACTTTGATCCCCCATTTTGGCCCTATCCTACTTCTGGAGGAAATAGCTTGAACAAACTTGAATCTACAATACTTGGGGATACTTCCATATCAATATGACAAATCATGACTTTGGTGTTCTTAAGCAGAAGATTTTTAAAGGTTTTATTCCTATATATTTCTATGTAAAGCTTTGATCACCCAATGTGGCCCACCAACCCCCTGTAAAAAAAAAAAGTGAATTTACACTCCCCGATGATGATTTCATATCAGTATGACTAATCAAAGCTTTGTTATTTTTGAGAAGAAGTTTTTAAAAGATTTTTCCAATAAATTCCTTTGTAAAATTTTGATCTCCCATTATGGCCCCACCCTACCCCCAGGGTTCATGATTTGAACAAATTTGAATCTACACTATCTGAAAATGCTTTCATATCAATATGACTAATCATGGCTTTTTTGTTCTTGAAAAGAACGTTTTTTAAAGATTTTTTCCTATACATTCCTATTTAAAACGTTGATTTCCCTTTGTGGCCCCATCCTACCCCCAGGAGTCGTGATTTGAAAATAAATTGAATCTACACTACCCGAGGATGCTTCCAGATCAATATGATTAATCGTGGCTTTGTTGCTCTTGAGTAGAAGAGTTTTAAATGTTTTTTTTCCCTATTGTATTCCTATGCAAAACTTTGATACCCAATTGTGGTCCCACCCTTCCTCCAGGCTTCATGATTTGAACAAATTTGAATCTACACTATGTTACGAAGGTTTCACATAAGTTTCAATTTTCTTCCCAATAGTTCTTGAGAAGATTTTTGAAAGATTACTCCAATTTTTCACTGTAATTCTTAATTATCTCCTCTTGAAAGAGGGCGTGGCCCTTCATTTGAACAATCTTGAATCCCCTTCACTCAAGAATGCTTTGTGGCAAATTTGGTCAAAATTGGCCAGTGGTTCTTGAGAAGAAGTCGAAATTTTAAAAAGTTTACAGGCGGACAGATGGACGCCAGACAAAATGTGATCAGCTCTCACTTGAGCTTTCATCTCAGGTGAGCTGAAACATTAAGGAGGTGCATCGTAGAAACAGGGTCCTGTCCACAAGCACCTGTGTAATAAGGGGTAACAAATGTTATAAGAAATTGCAGATTTATATGCTGTTTTCAAGTTATCTGTAACCCAACCCCACTGTCAACATGAATGTATGGACCTCTCGGTTTTGAGAATACAATGCACATTTTGACTCATTGTAGTAAATGAACAATGATTTACTGAGTATATGGGAAGCGTTTATTCAATATTCAATACAAATGTAATAATGTTCTAGAAATGAATATGGACAGGAAGGTACTATTTTCAGTACTTTCTCAGACTCACTTGAATTAAAAAAAATTATATATAGAGAGAGGAATGAATATTTTAAAAACTTAAATTTTTCATATCGTATAACATTTTACTTAAGATTTATGTATTGTTCAATACAAAGTATCAAGCAAAAACGTAACCATTGCAAGCTAATTTAATGTCAAAAATCCTTTAAATGAATCAGACACGTTTTTTAAGATCTCAAAATGAGAATATGATATGAGCAATCACAGACGGCGATGTTTTATGTGAAAAAATAATTATCATTATATCATCAGAAGCATTTCCTGTGGACGATAGATGGACCGGATTCGTCATACTCCTGTTTGCTGATCCACATCTGTTGGAAGGTGGATAGAGAAGCAAGGATAGAACCACCGATCCAAACGGAGTATTTCCTCTCTGGTGGGGCAATTATTCGTACCTTCACTGAGCTCGGAGCTAACGCTGTAATTTCTTTCTGCATACGGTCAGCGATACCGGGATACATGGTTGAACCACCGGACAACACTGTGTTTGCGTACAACTCTTTACGGATATCGACATCACATTTCATGATGCTGTTATATGTGGTTTCGTGAATACCAGAAGGTTCCAATCCCAGAAAAGCAGGTTGAAACAAAGCCTCTGGGCATCTGAATCGCTCGTTGCCAATGGTGATGACTTGACCATCAGGAAGTTCATAACTCTTTTCTATGGATGATGAAGACGCAGACGTTGCCATTTCCTGTTCGAAGTCTAGAGCAACATAACACAGTTTCTCTTTAATGTCTCTAACAATTTCTCTTTCGGCCGTGTTTGTGAAAGAGTAACCACGCTCTGTGAGGATTTTCATGAGGTAATCAGTCAAATCACGACCAGCGAGATCTAATCGTGCGATGGCGTGGGGAAGGGCATAACCTTCATAGATGGGTACCGTGTTAGAAACACCATCCCCAGAATCGAGGACGATTCCTGTTGTACGACCAGCGCCATACAGTGAAAGCACGGCCTGGATAGAAACATACATGGCTGGAGAGTTGAAAGTTTCGAATAAGATCTGTGTCATTTTTTCTCTGTTAGCCTTAGGGTTGAGTGGGGCCTCGGTCAGGAGAACGGGGTGTTCCTCCGGGGCCACACGGAGTTCATTGTAAAATGTATGGTGCCAGATCTTCTCCATGTCGTCCCAGTTGGTGACAATGCCGTGTTCGATTGGGTACTTGAGGGTGAGCATACCTCTTTTGCTCTGGGCCTCGTCTCCTACATACGTATCCTTCTGCCCTATACCCACCATGACACCCTAAACAGAAAATTTAATAGACATATTATGCCAGCCTAGGATTAATGATGCCGATTTTACTTGAATTTGCTATACATAAGCTGGTTTTTTTTAATTCAGAAGAGAGTATTTAATATGCACTCTAACAATTGTATAAATACTGCATGTAATTGAGTGTAACATTGAAAATTTTCACCCCAAGAAAACCACTGTCAACTTAGGCATAGTCGAGGTTGACAATGGTTTTCCAGGGGTGAAAATTTTCAATGTTACACTCAACTACATGCAGTATTTATTATATTATACTGAATGTTTTATACAAATACATATTACAGTGAACATTGCGCTCATCAATTCTGCGCAGTCAATATTTTTTGGAATATCGCCCGTCGTCAAGCAATGTTGACTGTTGCTACGCTGGAGGGTGTGGCTTCATTATTCAGCGGATAATAGTGTTTTTTAACAAATGTTCTAGACGAATCAGATTCAACTAATTTACTTGAAAGTATGATATATGGAAATAGCTTTATCAATTCACCATAGCTTCTTAATAAATTAAAACATTGAAAATCAGTGTGTACTTGTCTTTAAATATTTAGCAATAATGCAAAAAAAAGTTTGACCATTTATCACTTAGTTATGTACAATTAATATTCTGCAATATGATGTCTTAAAACTGAATAAAAGTCAACATAAGGCGTCAATATATTACTTGGTATCTTGGGCGTCCAATAATCGAGGGAAACACAGCCCTGGGAGCATCGTCTCCGGCGAATCCAGCTTTGCACATTCCAGACCCATTGTCAATTACTAAAGCTGCAATGTCGTCGTCAACCATTTTCACACTGTTTTAATTAAGAATGTAGTTGCTTCAAATTTACTAGAAAGACTGTTCTATCCAATATCGAGTATAGTCCCTTACTTATATACACGTATGTACCACAACACAGAAGTTTCGTCAACAAGGTCCATATATGGGAGAGGACTATGCTTAAGTTCTCGAAACTTGTGACCCATCCGTTTGACATATTGTACGTAAAATAAGTTCAAAAGCCATATATGGAAATCAAAACAGGTATACCAGGCTTGCTGATACATTTACTTATCATAGCTATATCCAGGATTTATTGTCACTTCTAGAAGTAGACTATCAAAAGAGAAATATATTACTGACGAAATTCAACAATTCAAAGGGCGATGCCTTTTTCTTCATTCTGTAATAATTGTAATACAGTATCAATTTTTGTACAGTTTATTCACAAGATATTTATATATTTACATATATATTTATTCTTAATTTTTTCAAATAACCGTTTATAAGACGTCCTCTTAGACGAAGACTGTGCAAGTTCATTAACTCCAAATAAGGTAAGATTTAAAATGTGTCGATCGGCAGGTATTTTTAGAAATGACATTCACAGCAACTATATACACCGCTGTCAAAGATCTAAAAATCATCATAAAGCTTATTCAAATCCAATTTTTCGAAAATATCAAAAATCTTTCGATTACAAATAGATATTTTATTTAATGATAAGATAATCTGTTCTTTACAATTTACCTGATTACTGAAGCAGAGTAGCCTGCCCCTTCCTAAACACGATTGTAATCAATATTTGTATACTTCGAACATTTTTATTTTTTTTTTCTCTCTATGGATAGTTACAAGGTACCCCTAAATTAATATTTAATTTTTTCTCTATATAACTATATAAAGAAAGGTCATGTTTAAACCTGCGCAGCAAAAATAAAATTCATTTTCTTTTTACATGTGTATTTTTTAATCGTGTCGGTCGACAACTGTGCTCATTTCTTTGCAAGATAATTCTGCGGTGTATTTTTAAATCGTGTCAGTCGACAATTGTGCTCACTTCTTTGTACGATAATTCTGCAGTAATTGTGAGTTTTAGTACGAAGATCGTGTTCACTATTCTCCAACATATGATGATACTCTGTTGAAGAGCGTATTTGATACTTAAATTCACACAAATTGCAAATTTGCCCATTTTGATTAGTGCCAAGAGTAATTTTTACGTAAAGAAAAGAAAATGCAATACAATAACAGAATGATGAAAAAAGCTACTATAAGATCATGAGACAGATTAATCCTATCGACACGTTTGCTTTATAATTCTACAACTTCATGATCTCAACACATGAATGGAATGTTATACCTTTTTAACACCATTAATTTTGTTTAGGGGACAACCATTTGATTCTAAATGGGAAAGGGGGGCTGACATATTTTGGAAATAAATAATTTGTCCCTGTCTTGTCCACCCCCTCCCCCCCCCCCCCCAAGAAATAGAGTTTGGCATTTTCCGTTCTTTTCCCCTTCTTGCTAGACTTTTTCCATTGAAGTAGAAAAATAACCTGTCCTCAATCACCGTGGAAAAAAATAATCTGTACTTTACAGGCAAAAAAAAATAAGCCCCCCCCCCCCGGAATCAAATGGTCATCCCCTATTAATTTTTATTACTTTATATCCCAAACCATATACTCAAGAAGACCTAAATAGGCAATTTTGATATACTGTAGATTAAATTATCTTTTACCCATATAAAAAAATACTAATGTTGTAAATGAAGTCTAGTCTAGCGCTTATCAGTAAAATTATGCATTCAGTAAAATAAAGAGCATGCATAGAACAAAACATGTTTCCTTTCAGATTCAGCAACTTGTAAATTGTCTAGGTTTACTTAAAATACTGAGAGAGAGAGAGAGAGAAAGAGAGATTTTCAGAGAACACAAAATATTCAGAACTTAGAGATGTCTGAGAGATGAACTTGTCTCACTGGATACTATCAGAGATCGATCTCTGCTTGAGAGATCTCAAGTTCTAGGATGATGTGAGGAGACTGCCCTAGCTATATCCCCCAATTTTCATTGTTCAAGGGCAGTGTGCTCCGATTGCTCTCCACAAACGGTTACCCAAATACAAACTATTTGAGGATTTCTGAGATCACAAAGAGATCAACAAGTTTTAAATGGACCATAGGTTTCCTCAATGAAATAAATGTGTGTAAAGGGCCTTTAAAGGTGTTTATACAGTATGGGTAAAAATAGTCGAACTTTTTTCTTCTGACCTTAGTAAAACTGAAATCTGAAGTTTCTACTGCATAAAATTGATGAAAAAGTTTTAAATAAATTTATTGCTGGTAGAAATGACAAGCTTTTGACAGGACTTAATAAAGCATTCAATGTTAAATCATACCTATAGCTTTTGATGTTTTAAAACTACATTCATATATCATATACAGTATGCATAATATGTGTACTTGAGATATTCTTTTGCTGTCAGATACAAAATGTCATGTAAATCTCGCATACACTGTGTAGTATTCCAAAATGTACATGTAGCAATGTATTTTCCATATTTACATGTACAGTCCAGTTCCTGAAAGCACTATTTTCTGAGGAAATGGATGACTTTCATGTTTGCTTCTTTGGACAAAAAAAATGGTACACAATAATTTTAAAATATCAGGTTTCTATATCTGATCATAATTCAATATATTAGTAGGCCTAAATCAAGATTTATCAAAAAGGTAACAATCTTGTCTAGTTATCAATATATTTCAACAAACATGCATATTATATTCTTATCCTTATCCCCCCCCCCCCCCCCCCCCCCCCCGGTGCTGACAATAAATATCAAGTCATTGCAAAATACTGTTTAAAATCCATATTTAAGACCAGTTTAGTTTAACTGTACATTATACTTCTTCGCAGTCATTTTTAAATTTGTATTCTACACTTCCATGGGAAAAAGAACAATGTAAACATAAAATGTGCATACATGTATATCTTTTTCCTCCTCGGTAAGTGTATATGGTCTCATACTTCAAACATTCTAGCTCACTTTTTACAGAATATAGAGTGTGTGTACCATCTTCAGCATCAGAAGACAGGTGCAGCTAGTCTTCATTATAACCAACTTGCATTTTTCATTGCATTAGGATTAGAGCATTCATTAGAATGGATTGTTATTCTTTTTAGTCCTTTTGGAGGCTTTAAAATCCCCCTCCTGTGAAGACAGCATGTGGTAAATCTCTTTGACCTTTCTTTTTCTCTCAGAGTCTCTGCAAAATTTAGAAAAATTCATCAAAAACATTCATACATGTATATTGCCTGGAACATGTACATGGGGTGTTTAATATTATCTATTAGTTGTTATCTATACAAATTTTTTTTCATAATTCAGCATAATAAACATTTTAAGAGGTATGATATAACAGTTTAGCAAAATCAGAGACAAGGACTCACTTTTCCATCTGTTCATTTAGCTGCTGTCGAGCCAAGAACTGTGTGTCTTTACGAATCTCCCGCATGGCTCCCTTTAGCTCCTTCCTGTATTTGTGTTTCATTTTCTCCATCTCGTTCTCCTCCTTAGAAGCTGCCTTCTTTTTCTTCTTGTCTTCAAACCTACATTTGATTCACGACCACTTTTTATTGCTGTAGATCTATAAACTATAATCATACAAGATTCTCTCTGTTTTAATTATAATTTATTTGTAAAATTTACAGACTTACACTTCCTCTATCTTTGGTTCAAACATTTTTAATGGTTTGGGTTTTCTCTGTGGCATGCTGACTTGCATTCGAGGTTTAGAAGTTATTTCCTTTACAGCTTTCTGTAGGTCTTGTACTGAAACCTGCACAAGTCTTATTGGTTACTTTGTATTCAATTTACACAACTGAAAAATTACACAATTGAAAAATCCAGACTTTATACACAACATGTATTTATCTGTCAGTAATACATGTGTAAGTTAGGTAGTTACTATATGGTGGCTTTAACATGTAATGAGGTAAATATAAACATATACATGTAACTTAACCTGTAGTGTCGAGGGGTAGTTGTTCACTGGTAATTTTTCCAGCATGTCTAGGACTGGGATGAAGATTTCTTTATAGGCTGGAAGCTCCTGATACAGAGAACTAAACTCTGACAACAAAGCCACACAGCCCTTTATCACAGATAACCTGTACAGAGTGGAAAAGGTTGTACTGTACAAAAATTGAGCTGAAGCACAAGTATTGGTATCAAACTGGACAAGAAATAGAGATGAATGATGTAAAGTCAAGCCTCGGTAATCTGTACACCATTAATCAAGACACATCACCTTCTGGTGTTTGTTGGTAACAGAACTATATTGATATCTACCAATTATAAAACGTCGTACTTGTACTGTAGATTCCTTATTTTACACGAGTTCTTAATATCGCAAAATGCCTCTTGGACATCAAATCACGAGCATATTAAATCATGAGTGGGCGGTTGATCATTAGATTTTATATGGAGTTCAGTGTCATAAAAATAAAAGTTAGTAAATTCATTTTGCGAGTGGAGCTTCTTGTGAAATTATATGATAATTAATTCCTTGCGTATATTTAGGAATCTACAGTAATCCGAATGCTTCATGAATCCTGACAATTTACTTCAGAATTCAAGTCTCGAGATTAATGGGGCTCAGTTGTATTTATTTTCTACTGAACTGCCTTACCTGAATTCATCATTTCTTAACTCCTCTTCCTCCATTTCCATGGTGAGAACTTTTGTCATCTTTAACATCTTGATTTCTGTTTTTCTATTAATTTTAAAACATATGAAACCATACAATAAAAACTTAAACCATATTGCATAACAGCAAACCTAGTGTCAATAATTGTGGCAAGTTAGGTCTCTGTAACCAAAATTTACATGAACATTTACAATTCAAATTTTATTTTTACAGCAGAATCATCATTGGAATCAAATTGAATCATAGGTGAAAATGACAAAGGAACACTGTAGTCAATCATTTGTTTCCATAAATGCTGCAGAAAGCTAAATTAACTACTGTATACAATGAATTTTTGCCCCCATTTTACTTTTGCCCCTTTGCCCATGCGGGTGAATTTAAATCTGGGCAAATTTAAAGAAAACAGTACTGTCTTTTAAATACAAGGGTTGTTAGAAAAGTTTGCGGACAAGTTCTATTGTGAGCACAATATTTCCATGAAACCGGTTAAACTCTCCAGATAAAAACTTCACCTATTTTCCAATAAATATACAAAGATTTGGTGTTTTCCAGTGATCCTTAAAAATTATACAGCTATATTATTATGATAAAACATGCTTCACGGAGCATGCTATTTTTCGCATGTTTACATTACATACACTTTTTATTGAAATTAAAAATTGCACAGTTGTAGCGCAGAAAGAATTATGATATTCTACCTATCGCTACAGTATTCATGAAATGTCACTTGCCGAAATTTTGAATTCAGTTGGAGGGTGTATGACTGTTTTATAGCCATTTATAAATAATCAACGTGTAAAAACAAAGCCAAGAAAGGGAACGTCATGGAGCACCGAGCTACTAAAAAATTATGTGTGCAGACAGGAATATGTCTAAAATAAATTAAAATGCTTCTAGATGCTGCTGGAAATTGCCTACACGTACAAAGGACAAAAGTATTCAAAATGTAGTAGCTTTATAATAAACTCCTTCGATACCTCAATATCCCACTTATTGCATGGACGTTGCGCCTATGGATTTTGCATTGTTTCCATACCTGATCTCTTAACTGCATAGAGTATCATTTCAAGATCTCACTAATATCCGAAACAGCACAATAGACATTATAGAAGAAAAATAACATGTCTTGATATAGATATTTAACTTTTAAGTAGAAAAAAGACAACAAAAGTCGAAAGAAATGAAAGATATTTAGAACTATGAAAAAGCTTAACGGGTTTGAAATCTGAATGTCACATCACCTAACGTCAAGTGATTGCTCCATGAATCCTATGACTGCATAGTAAAAATTGTTGTAAATTTTAAAAATTTTAGTAAATGGACCTGATTTTTTACTTACTAATAAATAAAAGATAGGAATTTAATCAGACATAAGTCATACTTCACAGTACACAATAGATTTTCCATAAATCAATGTGTCCGCAAACTTTTCTAACAACCCTCGTACATCTTTGTTTGGGCGAATTTAATGTGGGGCAAAATTGTTTTTCATTGTGAAAGGGCAAAAATAACATGGGTTGAAAATAAGCCTGTATAGAGTATACTTACTTGGCTTTCTTAGTTACCAATAGTAGATCATTATATTTTCCCACAGGTCTAAATGGTGGAATGACTGAGGCATCTAAATAAAATTAAAATTTCACTGTAACATAAACAAGATTTGTTCAAAATTCCCTCTAAAAAGCCTCTTTATTTTGATGCCCCCAAAGTTCAATCTTGGAAATAATACTTCACAAACTTCTATAGACTTCTCAAGTATTTAATCCAATATAGTAACACAAGTGTGCAAGATACAAGAAAAAATCTACCGGTATTTTTGCAGTAAAAATATTTACCTTCTCCCATCTTAAATACATTAAAATAACTTGTGGAATTTTAAATACATGTATTTCAGAATTCTTGGTTTAACTATTATAAGAGTTAAAAAATATTTTAACAATAGTACATGTAATTGAATCCAGTTTCAAAGCATTTTGAGAAATACTAAAACCAGGTTCAATTTTTCAGCAGAGATGTAATACTGTGGAATCATCATTGTTTGTGGGGTTCAGTGTTCATGGATGACCAAAATCTTACAGGTTCATGGGGATATACTGTAGTTTTGTGGGTAACCTGAATTTTTTAATAAGATAGATAACTCTACTGTGCTCAATGTTTATATGTATCAATGTTATCAATATTTATGGGGAAGTATGTTCTTGGGTCAGTGTTACCCAAGAATTCTATGAACGTTGATCCCCCACAAACTATGATTCCACAGTATTTCATGCTACACTAGATTCCTCCAAACAAGTGAGAAATTTTGCTACATGTATACTTGGCAGCTTGAGGTGATAATAAATAGTGTTAAAAGAATTGAAGAAGCAATAAAAATATATTTACATTTGTTGGGATCTTTGTTTGATGCCAAGAACAGCATTCCATGTAAGAAGTTTATACATTCTGGCACATATCTTTTTGATAAGGATACATACTGCAATATAAATCATACATGACTGTATATAAATCTAAAAATTACAACTAGTATAATTTATAGAATGACAAAGTAAATGTCTTTTATGAGAATGTGTGGTATTTGCTTAGTAAGGCTTATTACCTCAAGTGCCAGGCTACAGAGGAACAGACCCACTGCGACATCTCTCTCATGTTTCACAGAAGTCTGAAAAAAAGAAACTCGGACATCAATTTAGTAAACAACTCAGTCATATAAAAGAAATTAAAGTAGACACATTTTTTTTCAATATCCATAAATTATAGCAAATTAACATGCAGTACTTTTCATATGATTCAAAAAGTTCTATAGTTTATGAATAGCTCTTCAACAATAGGACACCTTCTGTACATGTATACACATTATTAGCCCACTCTGTATGCTGTTTTACATTTACTTTTGGTGCAGAGCTTCAGAAAAAAAATCAATGTATGCCAATCTTAAATTGGCAAAAAGCAAAGTAATCCTGCAGAAAACAAACCTCTGCCAGTATTTGGGTGATAAAGATGATAGCTGGGGTGGTGACAGCATGGCGGAAATCGGAGGTCGGAAACAGAATGGCCACTAGTTTGAGGAGCATCAGCTGTATAAAATGTAAGTGACAGAATGTATACAGAAGATGAGCATCTTTCAATTTAAATGCTGGTTTGCTATACATACATGTAGATTTAAATTTCAAATACCTAGTACACTGTATTATGGACATACAGTCAAACCCTGTTTCTTAAACTCGATGGGAAAGAGAAAAAATTTGATATATACGAGGATTCAAGATACTGAGGGCAAAATACTTGCATAAAGAGTGGTTGGGACTTCCAAGTTACTTTGACATATCCATGGTATTCATGATATCAGTGTTCGAGATACTGTAGTTCAACTGTATTTTTACATTTTAGATAAAGAATTACCTGTATTTTTTTCAAAATGAACTTGAGCAGTTTACAACTAATTGAAAACAATTCTGGGAGAATACTTGGCATTTTTCATGCTTATTTAGTAACAATTCTGCATATCCTTTATTTCAATTCTTACAGTATCCAGGGCAGGGTAGAGCCCCCTTCCTCCTTTCCTTTCACAGATGGCCTGGAATTCTTCCTGTCTCTCTGCTATCTGGTCAACCAGCACCTGAGCTGCAGCCAATGGGGAACCCTGGGATAGCTCGTACAGGTGAGGGACAAGACTGTCCATCAGCCGAAGCTGTGGGGGCTGCTGAACAGCAAGGTCTGCAAAATACTGAACTAGGCAAGAAAACAGGGTCTGAAAAATACAGAAATTAAAATACTGAACAAGACAAGAAAACAGGGTCTGAAAAATACAGAAATTAAAATACTGAACTAGGCAAGAATACAGGGTCTGAAAAATACAGAAATAAAAATACTGAACTAGGCAAGAAAACAGTGTCTAAAAAAATACAGAAATTAAAATACTGAACTAGGCAAGAAAACAGCGTCTGAAAAATACAGAAATTAAAATACTGAACTAGACAAGAAAACAGCGTCTGAAGAATACAGAAATTAAAATCAAAATAAATACTCCTGCTTTATAATACAGAAATTAAAATCAAAATAAATACTCCTGCTTTATAATACAGAAATTAAAATCAAAATAAATTCTCCTGCTTTATACATGTATTATTCAGGATAAATCACCTAAATGCAAGTTAAATGCAAATTGTACAGTCAAACCTGTATTAAGAGACCTTCCAACGGAGAAAGGAAAAAAGGTCACATATGACAGGTGTTCTCTTAATACAGGTTGATTATTTTCAGCATGTGCTGAAAATATTACACGTGTATGTGGAATGTATTTTATAGGTACTGCTCAACTCTAAATGCTTTTATATTATAGGTACAATTGTCCTGTTCAGTAATAAAATTTGCTTGATCTGCACATGAGTAATTTGATTATTGGGAAATATTGTGAACATCTGAAAATATTAAATGTTTTTATACAGTATTAAAAAGCTGCAATATTTTTTCTAATAATATTTTTTTTGTGTTTGTTTGTTTGGTTTTTTTTTTACATGATAGCCTATATATATAGCTTCGTATGTTTTGCAAATTAATAAGAATTAAAACTGTATCATGATTTTTGTTACGCACTTGGTAACAAATTAAATTATATTTATAACTAAAAATTTATTTAACCTAATTATTTTTTTTTCATTACTGAACTACCGCGTTTAACTGCCTGTTTGTCACCTACTTCAATCACTTCAATTATCACCTGGTATGGGTGCTAGCTAGTGTGTGTTTACTTACCCCTTGGTGACACAATTCACTTAAATAAACATCTAGGATTTAGTTACTTGTTAATTAAAAGTTAAACAGGCAGGTTTTATAGCTGAATATCCATTTGGCCCTTATAGCACGAAATGATATCGGGATCGACCTCGAACGTCTATTTTCAAAATGGCACTCATCATTGGAGAGAAAAAACGTGAATGTTTATGTATTAGATTTTAATGTTTATTCAATAAATATCAAACTGTAAGTAAAAATATTTATTTGGAAATGTTGTTTTATTCCTAAAACTCGCATTATATAATTATTAAATGAAATAAATGTGTGTCTGTAGATGTTTTGAACCAAAAAACGTAGCATGCTGGACCGAAATTGAAAGTAGGAATTGGAAATTATATAGTCGTTAAATCCAGGTAAAATTGCCTGAAATTACAAAAATGGTCAGGAAAATCACGGTCGCTGGTCACGTTAGACAGGTGGTCGTTTAATACAGGTATAATATATAGGGAAGAGCGTTGGGAGGAATTCTTACGGTTACATATGACAGTGAGTCGCTTAATACAGTGGGTCGCTATGGCAGTTTTAACTGTACTTGTTTTTTGATAGATAAAGTGTACAAAATACACTTGCTCTTAGACATTTTCATTACTTATGTAAATGAATACTTTGTGTATTATATTTTTATTCCTCCATACCTCTAGCTTCTGTCTGTTATCCTCGGCCAGACTAACGTGATGACATTTCCTCATCCTCGTCACTATAGTCAGCTGATCCTTCTCGCTGTGATCTTGTAACAGACTCAATAATTCATCATAATCCTTGGGTGCTACAAATCAAAGATTCACATTTATATGTACAATGTACATGTATATACAAGTGTAAAATTCCCTTAGGAACTTTACTAAGGAAAACTTTTGTAGTACCCAATAATTTTTTGTACCTTGAAATGTATAAGGCAGCTCTTTTCGTGCATCATCCATTATTTTCTTTATTTCCTATAAAATCAATATAAAACGCATAATACAATGTAATTTCTACCGTACAATGAAACACACTTCACTAAATACAAGTTTCTACAAATAAGTACATACTGTAAGGTTCAGGGGGGATTTTTTCGTTTTACTCTCTGTTGAGGTTTCTTTGTCAGAATCATCTTCCCCTGACTCGATATCCTTGTAACTGTCATCATCAGACTCATCATCTGATTCTGCTGGGTGATAAAAAATTATTTAAAATTAATCTATTTTATGATGTGTCAATCTTGAAATATTTGTTACATGTAAGAGGAAAATTTCTCAAAAATATGCAAGAAAAATTCAGTGTTTTCCCTTTATTTCAAAGTTAAGGGTTAGATATAAATTGTAACAGGCTTTGGGTTGAAGTTTATGACAAATCTCTGTGGACCTTACAACAATTAAATTTTGATTTTTAATTTCAAAGTGGCATTTTTATTAATTGAAGCAGTCAATTTGGCTGGTAGCCAGTTGTTAGTGAAAACACTGAAAATTACATTCAAACAATTAGGAAAGAAAAAAATAACAAGAGGCCCATGGGCCACATCGCTCACCTGAGTAACTTTGGCCATGCTGTTCATTACCAGACTTCCCCCATTGTAATACCTATTGTGGCCCCGCCCTACCCCCAGGGGCCATGATTTGAACAATTTAGAATCTACACTACCCCAGGATGCTTCCACATAAGTTTCAGTTTTTCTGGTCCAGTGGTTCTTGAGAAGATTTTTAAAGATTTTTCCTGTATATTTCAATGTGAAACTTGGGATTCCCTATTGTGCCCCCCCCCCCCCCCAATCCCCGGGGTCATGATTTGAACAATTTAGAGTGTACACTACTTGAGGATGCTTCCACATAAGTTTCAGCTTTTCTGGCTCAGTAGCTCTTGCCTATATATTTCAATGTAAAACTTGTATTCCCTATTGTGGCCCCGCCCTACCCCCGGGGGTCATGATTTTAACAATTTAGAATCTACACTATCCCAGGATGCTTCCACATAAGTTTCAGCTTTTCTGGCTCAGTGGTTCTTAAGAAGAAGATTTTTCAAGATTTTTCCTATATATTTCAATGTAAAACTTGGATTCCCTATTGTGGCCCCGCCCTACCCCCGGGGGTCATGATTTTAACAATTTAGAATCTACACTACCCCAGGATGCTTCCACATAAGTTTCAGTTTTTCTGGCTCAGTGGTTCTTGAGAAGAAGATTTTTAAAGATTTCTCCTATATATTTCAATGTAAAACTTGTATTTCCTATTGTAGCCCCGACCTACCCCCGGGGGTCATGATTTTAACAAATTAGAATCTACACTACCCCAGGATGCTTCCACATAAGTTTCAGCTTTTCTGGCCCAGTGGTTCTTGAGAAGAAGATTTTTCAAGATTTTTCCTATATATTTCAATGTAAAACTTGGATTCCCTATTGTAGCCCCGACCTACCCCCGGGGGTCATGATTTTAACAAATTAGAATCTACACTACCCCAGGATGCTTCCACATAAGTTTCAGCTTTTCTGGCCCAGTGGTTCTTGAGAAGAAGATTTTTCAAGATTTTTCCTATATATTTCAATGTAAAACTTGGATTCCCTATTGTAGCCCTGCCCTACCCCCGGGGGTCATGATTTTAACAAATTAGAATCTACACTATCCCAGGATGCTTCCATATAAGTTTCAGCTTTTCTGGCCCAGTGGTTCTTGAGAAGAAGATTTTTCAAGATTTTTCCTATATATTTCAATGTAAAACTTGGATTCCCTATTGTAGCCCCGCCCTACCCCCGGGGGTCATGATTTTAACAATTTAGAATCTACACTATCCCAGGATGCTTCCATATAAGTTTCAGCTTTTCTGGCCCAGTGGTTCTTGAGAAGAAGATTTTTTTATGACCCCACCCTATTTTTGTCTTTTCTTGATTATCTCCCCTTCTAAGGGGACTTGGCCCTTTATTTTAACAATTTAAACTCCCCTTCCCCCAAGGATACTTTGTACCAAGTTTGGTTAAAATTGGCCCAGTGGTTCTTGAGAAAAAGTTGAAAATGTGAAAAGTTTACAGACGGACGGATGGACAGACGGACGGACGACGGACAATGGGTGATCAGAAAAACTCACTTGAGCTTTCAGCTCAGGTGAGCTAAAAAATAAAAAATGTAACATTACGTTTTAAAAATCTATAAAAGTTTTAACAAAGTTAGTTATTCAAATTCATAAACACCCCTAACGTCACGTACATGTACATTGTACATCATGTAGATGATCATATTGTTATAAAAATTATTCATGCAGAGCTTATAAAGTGCCTATGAGATGTGATCTATTTTAGTACACTCCCTTACAATATATGCAATGTATACGCCAATAAAGATACTACTACTACAATTAAGTAACTGATGAATTTTTACAAACCTTCTGCGACATCATCTTTTTCTTCATCTTCTTTTTCACCTTCTGTGTCTTTTTCATCTTCCTCACTTCCTCCATCCTCATCTTCCTCCACATTGCCAACATCATCACTGTAATCCTCCTCCACATTGCCAAGATCATCACTGTCATCTTCCCCACTGTCTTCACCTTTATCATCATCATTTATTTCTGAGTCTTTCTCATCATCATCATCTTCTTCATCCTTTAACATTTTTCCATCCTTGTACACTGCATGGAAACGTGGCTGGGCATCTAAAGAGAAACTGAAAAAGAGAGATTAAACCTAAATATATGTCAATATCAAACATTAAAACAAAGAGACTTCTTTAAATACAGTCGAAGGGACCGAGAAAATACTTTGAGATAACCGAAGATTCGATATATCCAGGGTAAAATACTTGTGGAATAAGTAGTTCGGACTTCAAAATGACTTCGACATATCCATGATATTCGAGATATCCGTGTTCGAGATACCAAAGTTTAACTGTATAATAATTTGAATATGGGGCTGATTGTCTTTGTGATCACTTTTCTCACAGGCTTACAAAGTCAGTGTATATGACCACATTAAGAAATACATGTTATTATACCATAATTCTTATTGTTGAGGTTTCTGCCTTGAATCCTTTCTTATAATTGATGAGAAGCTATAACAAATTTAAAAGAAAATTATGGGTGGGTAATGATTTATTCACTTTTGAAGCTCTAAAATTTCTATCTTATAATTTTCATTTCTTTCAAATCAATAATGGTACACCTGATCATTAACCTCATTTATTATACAGCAAATAAATAATCTAAAAATAAAAAAAATACTAAAAATCTGGAGGATTTTAGCATTCAATATCTTAACAATTTATTGAATGCTGAGTTTGCATTACATAATCAAGTATACCCCGAAACATTCCAAATACATGTATGACCATTCAATATGGAATGTCCCGCTGTAAACAAAAATGACCAACTGCTGTCAGTCAACATCAATAAATTTTGTATTCTTTTTTTTCACAAGAGATTGCAGAGTGAATAAGGTTGGATTTATTGATATCTTTGTATAGCCAACTCTTGCAGAAAACTGTGTGATTGCAGGTGTCATTACATTATTTCGTTTAATGCTGCAAAGACAAAGTAAGTTTAGAATCTCCTCTGCAAATTCAGGCATTTCTGCTCTGTACAGGGACTCTATTAATTTTGTTTTATTTGATGAAAAACAATATTAAAGTAAACTTACTGGTTTTATAGATTCATGAAAATTTTGGATATGCTGAATTTTTGTGTGCTATTTTAGAGGAATTATTTAGACCTTGAATTTGATCCTCAAGCACCTACTCCTCTTTAACCAAAACAAACTTGCATGTCTTGCTAGATGTCTATGTGTTTTTGGTACTAAAATGTATAAGAAGAATTTCTTTACAATACCCCTATAGGTGTCTTACTTATCATCGAGATCATCAGCAGAAAAGTGAACTTTCTTCTTCTCTTCTTCCTCCTCAATTGAAATTCCTTTCATTCTCCGTAACCTATCAGCCTTCAAACAACAAACACAAAAGTTGACAGATAACTGTCATTTTTTTTATTTACTCAAATATTAATTAGCTGATAATTTTTCTTTCCAGATTTTGACAGGTTGTTAGTACAGTAAAACTCAGTTACAGAAATCTAAGTTACAAAGAACTTTTTACAAATCCTGTAGTAGACTTAATTTTCACTATGTTCCTTATACAGATATGTATAAAGAATCTCTGTTATAAGGAAGAAAAATCTGAGGTCCCAGTGACTCCCTTATAATTATAATATACTGTACATGCAAAAGAATGTGTGGTTACCTCTAATTTATCAAGTCTTTTCTTCTCTTCCTGTGCAAGCTCTTCCTCGGATTTCAGTTTATCAGTGGCCTATGCAACACATTGTCAAAATACAGATTTTCTTACTTGCATTTAATAAACTAAATAAAATTTATTCAAAAAAATTGTTCTATGTTCAGACAGGCTTTGCAAATATTTATAATTGTCTGCAATGTAAACAACTTTGAAAATGTGAACATTTGAAAATTTCAGCAAATATATACATGTACTTATTTACATGTATACATGTTTCTTAATATTTGCCTTATGGTCTCACCTTGCCCTTCATTTCAAATTTTAGTTCCCGCACAGCAATATCAAAATCATCTGCTTTTTGGAATTGCTCTTCTTGGCCTCTCTACAATGATGAATGTACAAATTAAATGTACATAAGAAATTTACAATGTACCTTTTTCATTACATCAAACTAAACAAAATTCTAAAACTATTGTATCCAAATTTAATTTGAATTATCTGTTTTTGTACCTATTATTTAATAGACTCAAAACTTTTATCAAACCTTATTTGAAGACATCAACTTCATCACATCTTTCCATTCTGCATCTAACTTCTCTGTTAATTCCTTTGTCTTCTCTTTTTCAGCCTGGCGCTCAAACTTTTAAAACAAAGTATAAATTGTAATGTCAGATTAACACATTTAATAGCTAAATTGTATATAATCATTCAAAAGAATAGTGTATGTGTTTCCATTATATCTAGAAACCTTCTCCTTTTTAGATTTGGCAATGACTTCCTCCATTCTTTCCTTCCAGCTTTTCTGCTTCTGACCTCCCAAATCCTGATAGTTACTGTTGGACAAAAATCCTCCAAAATGTTCTGTAGCCACCATATTAGCTGAAAAAGAAATGATTCTGACAGCTGATGGTATTTTACTTCTTACTGAAAAGTTTGCCAATTAAAGTTATCTCCCTTGACACAGTGTCCATTTTCTAGTATCATTGTGAATTTCAAAGTGGACAACAGATGAGCGTTTACTCAGGGTTGCCCCTAAGATCCGAGGGTCGGGGATTTTTCCCACCTATTATGGTGTAATCCCCTGGTTTCTCTGGTATTCCCTCTCAATCCCCTTTAGGAGAGAAATCCAAGACCCTCTTCTCCTATTTTAATGTCCCCTGCTATTTCAAATCTTATGGACAACTTGATTTACTGATGAACATCAACTGACCATCAATCCTCCCACTGTCCTCCTCATCCTCACTGGCCTCTGGCTCCTCAAACTTCTCAATGGAGGACAGAGACTGACCATAATGTGTTAGATCATCCTCATCATCATTAAGACTGAACTTGTTTGTCTTCTCTCTCTGTGTCAAGAAAAAATAAGTCGTGAGGATTTTTCCCTTAAAAACTGATCAAATTTGTTTTCTCAATGATTCACATAAGTTTTTACAAATTTTATTTTTTAAGCAGTGTAATTTTTTTTTTTCAAGAATGCATATTAATTAAAAGAAAATCTTAATTTTTCACATTTTTCACATTCAATACCTGTTTCTCACTACAGGCCTCTACATTAAGAAGCATTCTGACCCCCCCCCCCCCCCCCCCCATAAATGTAATTCTTACTGGAATAGCCCCTAAGGACTGTTCAACAATTTTCCTTTTGTATATGACACTTCAAAGGACAAGGTATGGTAACGGCCGAATCTGGCCCCTTATTTGATGTAATAATCAGAACACAGTTAAAATTGTGATAGTTTGTAGTTAAGAACTTAAAATAATGCTTGTTTTAAAACCAGCATTAATTTTGATTCAAAGCTTACACGGAGGCCACAAGAGGGTGCAAAAGTAGGACATTTTCCAGAATTCCCTCAATTTTGGTGGAATTTCGTCAAATTTGAGATACTTTTCACTTCGGGAAACACAGAGCACAAGCTTTCCTATCTGAGATTTTTATACATAAGATGCATCTGATACTAGTGTATGAAATATATAAATTTGGTAGATAGGCAAGCTTGTGCTCTATGTTTTCTGAAACAAAATGTACAGAAAAATCAATGAAAATTTGCATAAAAATGAGAAAATTCAGAAATTGTCATATTTTCTGACCTTCCTGTGACCTCTGTGTATTCCATACACTTAGAACCAATACTCATTTTGTGGAAGGGGTAACAACAGGTTTCTATTGATAAACTGTTGCATCATTCTAAAAGGCATCCCAAACCAGGGGCCAAAAAGGGGTCTTAGCCTATCTTGTCCTTTGTACATATCTGGAAGTGATGCTTCAATTCAGAATACGATGCAAATACAATGTAATCTAATAAAATCATGAATTGTACCATTTACTGTAGATTCCTAAATATATGTGAGGAATTAATATTACCATGTAATTTTGCAGGAAGCACCACTTGCAAAATAAAATTAGTCACTTTTATTCTTATGGTGCTGAAATCAATTGAAAGGAGATTTCAAACAAGGGGGGGGGGGGGGGGGGTATACACACTTACTGCTCTCTCCATGGCAAATCTCTTCATCATTTTCTCCTCTAAACTGAGTGAGGTGTCATTCTCTCCAAATCTCTTGTCTATAAACTTGTTGTTTTTAAACCTCTGATTATACTCCTGGAGCAACGTGGCTTTTCTCTAGAAAAAATAAAGTAACATAAAATTATTGTCCGCAAGGTACAGTGATGTTCCTGCATGAACATGCTCAATACACAAACAGCTCATGTTAATAATTTGAAAATGGCAAAAGTAGTGTTTAGCAATACTAGTTTTAAACTTCATTAAATATTAAAACTAAAACATATAAAACAATGAGGCAATCTTTAATTTACACACATGTAAGGTGCCTAATTTTGCCATATTGCCATTAATGGTGACTGTTTTGAAAGTGTTGCCATTATTGGTGGCTATTTTGAAAGTGTTTTCTTGGCTGGTATTTGAAAATTTATTGTAAGAAAACTTGTTTTTTTCAAATAAAAGTATCTTTAGAGTTTTTTTTTTTTGTTTTGCATGCTACTTATACATGAATATGTACATGGAGTCATCTGAACTATACAGACTAGTATTTTTTAACTTTATTTTAGTTTTTTTATTTTAGTTTGCATCTAAATATTTGTGTCTTAATTTTTCTGTCCAGAAGCCACCAAATTTTTGAGGTCACTGAGACCTGGGAAGTATATACATACATTTACACAACATGCTCAGGTCTCACCTTTTGAATTCCCTTGGACCGTGACAGTCCAGGCATGCCCCGATCATGCTTAGAAATTTTACGTCCCATGATTTTTTGTTTTTGTCTGTTGATTTTGACCTCAAACGGATTGATTTTTTTCTGCGACTCTTTTTTCTTGTTTCTAGTTTTATCTGCAACATTTTTCTTTCTCTTTGCCATTCTTGATCCTCTTTATAAATGTATTCTTGATCTTTTTTGTAAATGTTAATTGATAAACATATGGTATTTGCGTAGTTCTTGATGTTAACAGTTACATTCTAATATCTGCAAAATAGAAGAAAAACTGTAATAACCTACTGAATAAATGCTAACATTTTGCAATTTCATTTGCCAGAAAAATTACATTTTCAGAATAGTATTTTTTTTTCTATGTCAAAAATATATATAATTATTTTAAAACATAATGAAATAATCAAAGTAATCATTGAAAAAGAAAATTTACATGAATATGATCTTATGGAGCTGCAGATCTGTAGCTCATTGGTCTAAAAATAAAGGTTGGAGGACCAAAGACCTACAGTGCCATTCATTGAAAAAGTGTATAATGCATGTATTTACAGTGTACACAAAAAGTGTGCTGTTTCTCAATTATTTCTCCATATGTCATCTCAAAATATTAGTAACCATGTGTTCTAACATATTCTATTATTATTTTCACAACAAAACAACCCCATTACCATTGTTAATAGCTTTCCTGGGCCTTAAACTGAGACTAACAAAAATTTTACCTATTTATACAGCCATTTTGTGTGGCAAGACAAAATCAAACCAATGCAGTTCGCTCAGAACTACAAGAGTATTTGATAGAGATCAAGGAATTTTTTTAAGTCAAGCTTTTGTGCAGTTGAATTAGAATTTGGAGAAATAAATTCAGAACCATGAGTGCAACTTTTTGTGAACAATAAATTAAATTAATAATAGCAAGCAAAGTGAGCTCAATAGATTTTTGTGTGAGAACAGAGAAAATTTTAACTAAATTTTGTATATTTGTCAAATATTTGTGTGAAATCTTTTCAGAATTCCTTTGCTACCAGCATTCCATATGATAATGGTGAATGCAACAGGCCTGCAGTTATCGTGAAGATTTATTTCTTTTAGAGAGCTCATAAGAAACAACGAGAATTGAATCTACTCTACAATGCCTTTCATTAAAAAATTTCACTAAGCTGACTTAGACTCAATTACGGAGATGCAACTTACTAGGGCTGGGTATCGACTGGGAATTTTGTATTGCGATATATTGCAATATTTCTAACTGTATTGCGATATATGTATCACAATATTTTCAGTAACAGCTAAAATGGTCTTTTCTTACTTTTAACCTCCATTTATAAGCAGAGTGTATAGGTTGTAACAAAAAAGTTCTCATTGATTTCCTACAGTTTTGCAATGAAATGCAACCATTCAACAGCAACCTTACTGTTTGGCACAATTGATAACGAATCTGACATCGAAAAATTTAAGATGTCAGATACATTATCATTTGTGAAATTTATTAATAAGTTAAATTTCATATTTTACTTTAGAAATCCCAAGCCCAAGCATTTTGCCGGTATATCAAAAAAAATTATGATATTTTTTTCGTCACGTGACATGGTCGAGACTGTGTCTCGTGCTGTTTGGAGATGGAAGAGGCGGATCTAAGTTGCAAGTGTAAGCTGTGAAATGGTTCTTGATGGACAACTATGCTTGCCCAAATGGTCACACTGTACAACGTATTAATATACAGTTATTTCTTTGAGTGGCACTGTAGTTCTCTGGTCTGTCAATTTTTTTCTCCTAAGAATTAGTACAGTTCTGCAGCTAGATCTTATGGAGTACAGTTTCAAAAAGAAATATATCATGGTTATTGCATTACTTTCACTTCAAATAATTTTTTCTCAGTGAAAATCAGACAGATACAAAGTAAAAATCATTTTACATTACTCAACACTTGCCATTCCTATACTGTGACTTGGTCCCTGTGACTTACCAAGTAATAAGACACTGACAGAGGGACATGAAGATCAGTGGTATGGCAAGCGTGTACATACCAATAAAGTAATAAATACAATCATAAATGTCATAAAAATTTACCCTATCTTGGCTATCATTTTTAAAACTATATCCATTACAATTTTTAACCCACATGGAAATTCTAGGATGTCGCCATTTTGTATTCATTAGACAATTTGAAGGTAAAATTATTCGAGTCATTGATATAATTATTCGCCTCTTCATAAGATTAATTAAAAGTAAGATATGGATTTTCTGGTGATTTAGTTTATGAATTTCTTTTAATTGGGGAAAAGATAATGATAAAAAAAAAAACTGTGTGCTACTTCTCTCTGTATAGATTTTTTTTTTAATCATTCAGATTTTTCTGTCGCGTCGGCCAGTCGATATATGGTTGTAGGATGGTGCTATCCTTGTTTTGAAACAGATGAAAATTTTAAAGAAAAAATATAAAAGTGTACACAAATTAAAATCTTAACAAAAACAAAAATTGGCTGAAAAAGACAAACACAAAAAGTAAATATTTTTTTACGTTTCCGATTTTAAAATTATTATGACAGATGAAGTTCCGTCAACAACAGACAACACAGCCCGTTCGGACACCGATACTGATTCGGAGGAAAACATGAGTAATCCGACGAAATGTGTGTTGTTAGCGTGTGGATCGTTCAACCCGGTTACAAATATGCATCTGAGAATGTTTGGTAAGTTAATTCATTCTTTCCATCCCAAAAAATCGTTCATTTCTGAATTCAAAGAAATGAAACCGAAAATTGCGAATGTGGTAAAAATGTGTTTGTGAAATGTATTTCTTCACCAGGAAGTGTTAATCAAAGTATTATTATATTGGGTTGGGTACAAGTGAATGCAAATTAAATATAGATTAAGATGAGGCTTCAGACCTTAACATATAATGACATGTACATTTGAGGAAAAGGTTTTCAGAGGTGTAGGGGGTAGCTAGTAGAGGCTACTATCAGTCTGTCTAGTATCTTTAATGTTCATGGTTCAAATTTCAACAATTGCCAGGGATGTCCCTAAGAATTGAAATAGGAGGGGACATTAAATAAGTAGAAGGGGATCTGGGGTTCCTCCCCTAACAGGGGGTTGAGGGGAATACCAGAATAACCAGCACTGGGGATTATGCAGTTATAGGCGGGGAAATTCCCGACCCCCCAGGTCTTAGCGACAACCCTGAATTGATTGTGAAAACCGTTCTGTTTTGTTAAAAAGGAGACAGGGGGCTGAAATAAAAAGCAGGCCGTCTATTAAT